ATTATTTTCATAAATGCATATTAATGATAAATAAGTTGTACAATAATTAAAATTTTTAATATCTCAAATTTTAATATATAAAAAATATTAAAATAATAAAGTACTTTAATAGTAGTAAATTATAACTTGTATAAACTAGGTTAATTCGACGTACAATTAGATCTACTAAAACTAGTATTCAGAAGACACATAATTTATATGTGGTCATACAAAGTATTATACTTTATATACCAGATCGATTCACATTATAAAACAAGACGTTGTACTTTATAACACAACACATTGCACGTAATAACCACACTACATAATTATACAGTTACAGTAAAAAATATTGCGCAGACAAATAACCCAAAATCTCAAGCCAAAATCTCAAACAACACAATTGATAAAACAATATACATCCTACCATAATCACAGTGGATGTTGGTGGCTGACGTCGGGCTGATACTTCGCCAATGACATTCACCGACAACTTGTTCGATGAGCGGCCAAGATGGCGGCGAGATTCACGACATTGAAGCGGCCGACGGTCGTGACATTGACGGAAGCGGCATGAGTGGACGACGGATGACGGATGACAATGGATGGAAATGGATGAGGGCTGGAAGCGATGCAACGACGTTGCTGGAGTTGGGGTGGTGAAGGAGGCGCCCGACTGTCGGAATGGGTTTTTACAGTGATGATGAATGCTATTGGTGGGCTGAGAATGTTGACGACGAGCTGATAAAGAGAGCAACGACGGGCTGAAAATTGGCAACGGGCAGAAATCCAGTGACGAGATGAGAGGCGGCGGAAGTTGTGCAGGTACATGCGGAGGTGGCTACGGGCTGATGCTCCAATGGCCGGAAGGTGGGAGCAAAATGGTAGAATGTTGAGGGAAGGCGGCTGAGAAAAACAGGTTGTTTGGACGAGAGTGTGCCTCATATCTGAGAAAAAACAGGATTCCAGCAAGCGGTGGTGGGTGGTGGTTGGGGGAAGCAGGAGGTGACAGGCGGTGGCTGGAAGAAGCAGGCAGTAACGAGCGACAGATGGCGATGGCGGTCGGTGGCTGGAGAAAGCAGACAGTGACAGGGGGAAGATGGCCGTGGCGGTTAGCGGGCGATGGAGAGGAGACAATGTATGCATGAGAGATGAAGATATTTGGTGTATGTGCGTGAGAGATGAAGATATTTGGTGTGGTGGTAGTGTGTTACGAATCGTGTATCGAGTATCGAATTTTGTATCAAAGCCGGGATTAACGAACCCGATTTTGACACGAATTGATGCTTGGAAACAAGTTTTGGTTGTGAAATTTCATAAAATACTTGATAAAAAACGTACAATGTCCAACACACAAACTAAATACATTACAACCCTTAAAATGCAAAGAAAAACTGTAAAAATAATTACTCCGCTAGAACCTTAGCGCCGCTAAGGGCCATTAATGGCTGCTAAACAATGCAACATAAACTCTCTGTCCGTGTTAGCACCCGCTATCCCTGCTTTAGTGCCGCTAACCCCTAGAAAGCTACTATTTTTCTGCAGCTTCATTCTAGGTCGACGAGCCCGGTTGTACGCGTTCTTCAGCTGACGACCCTCATCCGCATCATTCTTGTCCCCTTCAAGAAAGTCCATGTCCTCAAGGACAAAATCTGAAAATTGAATCAGCATATCTTGAAAATTTTTCCAAGTTGATTCTTCTTCCGGAAGTTGGTCCCATTCGATTAAGACTTCCCAACGGAAGCGACCAGCCATTTTTGTCCTCCGATAATCCTTATTTCATAATGGATGTATGATTATTGTGCCTTCGGAATTCAATGCAAAGAAAAACTATAAAAAATAACTACTCCCGCTAGAACCTTAGCTCCGCTAAGGGCCATTAATGGCCGTTAATCAATGCAACGTAAACTCTCTGTCAGTGTTAGCACCCGCTATCCCCGCTTTAGTGCGGCTAACCCCTGGAAAGCTACTATTTTTTTACAGCTTCATTCTAGGTTAACGAGCCCTGTTGTACGCGTTCTTTAGCTGACGGCCCTTATCCGCATCATTCTTATCCCCTTCAAGAGAGTCCTTGTCCTCAAGGACAAAATCCAAATATTGATTCCAAATATCTTGTAAATTTTCCCCAAGTTGATTCATCTTCCGGAAGTTGGTCCCATTCGATTAAGACTTCCCAACGGAAGTGACCAGTCCTTTTTGTCCTCCTATAATCCTTAGCTCATATTGGACGTATGATCATTGTACCTCGGTTGAACTCCTTGATTTCCTCCCAAACTTCTCTTTAGCTGAGACACATTAACCACCGGATGGATTTGAGTTTCGGCTGGAAGATCAAGTCGATAGGCAACTTCAACCACGCATTCCAGAATTTTGTATGTGCCATAGAAACGGCTTCCTAACTTGAATAAAGCCTTTTGAGGTATTTTATGTTGGCGATAAGGTCTAAGCTTCAAGTAAACCCAATCACCCAGTTCAAACTGATCCTCTCTTCTTCCTCTATCATAGTACTCCTTCATTCGATAGACCCATACAAGTTTCCTTTGAGCTCCCGAATCATAAGATCTCGTTCCATGAGCTCATGTTCCACCTCATCATTCAGTGATTTTCCCATCGGATAACTCACCAATAGGGGTGTCTTCCGTCCATAGACGAACTCGAAAGGAGTGAATTTGGTCGATGCATGGTACGTTGTATTATACCAAAATTCAGCCCATGGTAGAAATCCTTCCCATTTTCTCGGAAATTCATGAACATAGCATCGGAGATATTGTTCGAGGATGCAATTGGTTACCTCAGTTTGCACGTCCGTTTGAGGATGATATGTTGAGCTCATAGCCAACTCGGTACCTTGCATTTTGAAAAACTCCTTCCAAAAACTACTCATGAATATTCGGTTCCTATCTGATACAATGGACCGGGGCATCCCATGCAGCTTAATTACATACTCGATAAATAACTTAGCTATGGATTTAGCCATATATGGATGAGTAATAGGAATGAAATGTGCATACTTGGTAAGACAAACCACGACCACCATGATCCCGTTGAACCCATTAGACATTGGAAGTCCTTTGATGAAGTCCATTGTTATATCCTCCCATATTCTCTCGGGTACCGGTAAAGGTTGTAAAAGCCCTCCCGGTTTTTTGGAATCCAACTTCACTCTTTGGCAAATGTCACATTTTGTTATGGACTCCCAAACGTCATTCTTTGTCCCCGGCAAATAAAAGGTATTGGATAGCCTTGCCCACGTACGATACACTCCCGAATGTCCCCCAATCTTGGCTTCATAGAAATATTGCACCAGCTCAAGTCTCAATTGATCGGTTTTCGGTACATACACCCGACCTTGTATAGTAACAAGCCGCCATAGACATCATAATCTTGGACCTCTTCCTCTTGAGCTTCCATTTTTCTACGAACATCATTGCAAAAGGCATCTTGAACATTTGCCTCTTGTAATTGATCCCATATAGCCCATGTTGGTCCCGAAATGACTTGTAGTTCTGCCATGTCCGTCCGACGAGATAATGCATCAGCCACCGTGTTTTATTGACCCGACCTATAACAAATCTCAAAGTCGAATCCCATGAGTTTTGACACAAATTTTTGTTGCTACGGAGTCACTATTCGTTGCTCCAGCAAATGCTTTAGTGGTTGTTGGTCCGTCACAATTCGAAAATGTCAGTCCAAAAGATAAGGCCTCTAATCCCGAACCGCTTCTACCACAGCTAGCAACTTTTTCATGTAGATCGACCATCCTACTCGTACACTCCCAAAGGCTTTACTCATATAAGCAATGGGTCAATCTTCTTGCTTAAGGACGGCTCCAATTCCCACATCACTAGTATCCGTATGCACTTCAAACATCACCTCAAAGTTAGGCATGGCCAAAACCGAGGTCGTTGACATAGCCCCCTTGAGTTTTTCGAATGCCTCCTCACTACTAGCCAACCATTTAAACCCTTCTTTTTTCGTCATCTCTGTCAATGGCTTAGCAATCGATCCAAAGTCTTTGACAAATTTTCAATGATATCTAGTCAGCCCCCAAAACCCCCTAGTTTCTTCAAATTCTTCGGTTTAGGCCAATCAAACATCGCCTCAATTTTCTTGGAATCCACTCTAACTCCTTCAAAAGATATGATGTGGCCCAAATACTCCACCGATTCTTGGCCAAAAGAACATTTCAAAGACTTTATCTGAAAATCATTCTCCTTCAAAATATTCAAGACCACTTTCAAATGCATCACATGTTCATCCCAATTCTTCGAATACACCAATATATCATCGAAGAAAACCAACACAATTTTTCTCAAGTAATCTTGAGATATCGAATTCATAGCGAATTGAAAGGTGGATGGTGTATTACATAAATCGGAAGGCATTACCAAATATTCATAGTGCCCGTGATGAGTCTGGAATGCCGTTTTGTGAATGTCCTCTTCTGTCACCCGTATCTGATGGTAACTCACTCGCAAATCCAATTTGGAAAAATAACAGGATCCCGCCAACTCGTCCAACATGTCATCAATGCTTGGAATTGGAAAAAGATCCTTTATGGTAGCCGCATTGAGAGCCCGGTAATCCGTACAAAACCTCCATGTCCCATTCTTTTTCTTGCCGAGAAGAACCGGTGAAGAAAAAGGACTCGTACTATGCCGGATTAATCTCGACTCAAGCATTTCACGATCTTGCTTCTCAATCTCGGTTTTCTAAAAATGGGCATACCTATAAGGATGTACATGTACTGCTTTGGTTTCATCCAACAAAGGAATGCGATGATCGAACTCTCTTCGTGGTGGTAGATTTTTCAGATCAGCTTTCACTTCTTCAAATTGTTGAAGCAACACGTCAATCTCTTTTTGCTGAAAGTGTTCCTCATCAACACCCTCCAATTTTATCGACTCTAATGGCAAATATTTGACTACCTTGCCTCCACAATTTCTCCAAACTTTGAGCACTCACCTCCTTCGTTCTCTCATTTCCATCAGTTGATAGTTTAATCACTCCATCACCCTAACGAAATTCCATTGTCCCCACTCTATAGTCTATAGTAACTAGACCTAATCCTTCCAACCATTGAACCCCCAAAACCACGTCCGGACCTACCAAAGGTAGTGCATACAAGTCGGCCTTTAAAGTGACCCCTTGCATTTTTATCGACACACCCCGGTAAAACTTCGAGCATTTCAATCTCTCACCATTAGCAACCCTCACTTCAAATGGCTCACCTTCTGTGACATGTAAATTTAATTTATCGGACAATGATGAATTAATAAAATTATGAGACGAACCATTGTCGATTAGCACAATTACACGTCGATCACGAACCCAAGCCGACATCTTCATCGTCTTGGGTCCTTGAGTTCTCTCCATTGTATGGACCGATATCTCTGGGTCCTCCTCGTGAGGATCGATTAAACTCTTCAATTCATCCCTCACTACTTCATATTCTTCGGACTCAATGCATTCAATGAAGAACGGTTGCCTTTCTTTGCACCAATGACCGGGTGTGAATTTCTCGTCACAATTAAAGCATAAGCGTTTCTCCCTCCATCTTTGCATCTCTTCCCAAGACAAATGCTTAACCCCTGATGAAAGGTCTTTTCCATTGCTGGTTGATGTATTGGCTCCCATTCTTTTAACATTAGAAGGGAAAGTCATCGGTCGCCTCACTTTCAGTCGATTGGCGCTCCGTAGTGCCATCAAGTGATCATCACGCATTCTATCGGCTTCCATGGTGGCACACATAGTTTTTGGTTTGTCTAGCCTCACCTCTGCTGCCAAATTTGATTTCAATCCACCAATGAATGTACCAACAAGTGCTTCTTCCGGCCAATCACGAACTCAATTTGCAATTCGTTCGAATTCTTTTTGGTATTCTCATAAGCTTTACGTTTGCTTGATATGTTAAAGAGCTGCATCATAGTTATGATAATCCAACACTCCGAATCGAATAGTCAATTTCTTTTCGAAATTCTTTCAACGAATCCATTTGTCCTCCTTCTTGTAAACCCTCGATAGCCATTGCCACTATACATTCGCCTCTCCATCGAGATAATAAGTGGCATATTTCACTCTTTCCGACTTGGGTATCTCATTAATTTCAAAGTATTGACAAGCATGATTTAACCATGAATCAGGATCCGTACCATTAAATTTCAGAAGCATTAAGTTAGGTTTTTTCGACCCTTTGCCTTCCACGGTGGTTTGATCCCCTTGAACGAACATCTTCATCCTCTAGAAATTTGATCCGGTTTTTGCGACCCTCTTCAGATTCGGCTGACCCTTCGGAAGATGATTACGAATGGTTACCCCTCCTAGCCCATCGTCCAACGGTTTGGAGCATCATCCTCTTAAGTCTTGCCATCGTTTGATTCGTGGATTGAATTTCTAAGCTCATTGCAGGCATGCTCTCCTCCATATGATCCATCCTCTCTCGATTAGTTTCCATGATACATGATTAGTAACTCTCAATGAAAGCACCAATGTTACGAAGCGTATATTGAGTATCGAATTTTGTATCAAAGCCCGAATTAACAAACCCGATTTTGACACGAATTGATGCTTGGAAACAAGCTTTGGTTGTGAAATTTAATAAAATACTTGATAAAAAACATACAATGTCCAGCACACAAACTAAATACATTACAACCCCTAAAATGCAAAGAAAAATTGTAAAAATAACTGCTCCCGCTGGAACCTTAGCGCCGCTAAAGGCCATTAATGGCCGCTAATCAATACAACGTAAACTCTCTGTCTATGTTAGCATCCGCTATCCCTGCTTTAGCGCCGCTAAGGCGCCGAAAGCTGTTATTTTTCTGCATCTTCATTCTAGCTCGACGAGCCCGGTTGTACGCGTTCTTCAGCTGACGGCCCTCATCCGCATCATAGTTTGTCCACACTTGATGTAAATAAAGGTGTAATTGAGTGATTACCATTATGACCTTACTTAGTAGGTAAATGTGTACATTGGACCAACAATTACATATCTATTTACGAAATTGCCACAACAGATTTGGCTGCATTATTTACCTTTTGACTTGATCATCACCATTGATATGTTAAATACAATGGTACAAATTCATTCTTATTTTTTCATTATATATCATTACCATAAGATCCTTTCTCAAAAATATAATAATAAAATTAATATTTTTTTATATAGTTCGGTCGTTCGGTTATCTAATAAAAAAATTGATATCGAACCAGCATAAACGAGTTTTTAAATTTAAAAAAATGGCAATTGAAATGTGATTTGAAAAATGAACTAACTTTATTAGTTTGGTTGAAACAATTTGATATTGTGCAATCCAATCACTATCGTGCAATTCATATAATCTTAATGTGCACTCGCAATACTTAAACTTATATAAAATAATAATATTATTTTTCACATAATTTGGTCGTTTCAGTTATTTTGGTTATTTAAAAAAAAAAAACCTGACACCGAACTAAAATAATTGTGATTTTTAACTAAGTATATCTAATCGAACTAAAATATAAAATTTCAAACTAAAAATTTAATTTGTTTGTTTTAATAGCTATTATGTTATTTGAGGGTTATTGATGTGCAAATATTCTAATAATATATATCGTGCACTCACAGTGCATTCAATTTTTATGATTCATACACTAAAAATGAACGGACATAATCGATTTAATCTATCGGCTAATCAAAACACCATAAATGATCAAAATAATATTTTAGTTATATTATAAAAAATATATTTAATATTTTAGCATTAATAAGAATAAATCACAACCAGTAGATCAAATAATCCAACAACTAAAAATATATCAAATTTTTACACTTATTAAGAGTAAATCAATCGCTACATCATTCCCCATCACTGGACCCCACCAAAACTTACACAACCCCCACCGACCCATGTCCCATCCCACCTTTCACGTGACTCTCTATCTCTCT